GCTTCCTGTCCCACATATAGGTTTCTCAGGAGATAGATAAGATGGTGAGGCACTCCCATTTCTTTAAGGACTTGCCATAGTTTGCTGTGGTCCACACAGTCAAAGGCTTTTGCATAGTTAATGAAGCAGAAGTAGATATTTTTCTGGAACTCTCTGGCTTTCTCCATAATCCAGCGCATGTTAGCAATTTGGTCTCTAGTTCCTCTGCCTCTTCGGAATCCAGCTTGTACTTCTGGGAGTTCTCGGTTCACATACTGCTGAAGCCTACCTTGGAGGATTTTGAGCATAACCTTGCTAGCATGTGAAATGAGTGCAATTGTACGGTAGTTGGAGCATTCTTTGGCACTGTCCTTCTTTGGGATTGGGATGTAGTCTGATCTTTTCCAGTCCTCTGGCCACTGTTGAGTTTTCCAAACTTGCTGGCATATTGAATGTAGCACTTTAACAGCATCATCTTTCAAGATTTTAAATAGTTCCACTGGAATGCCATCACCTTCACTGGCCTTGTTGTTAGCCAGGCTTTCTATGGCCCACTTGACTTCACTCTCCAGGATGTCTGGCTCAAGGTCAGCAACTACATTGTCTGGGTTGTCCGGGATATCCAAGTCTTTCTGATATAATTCCTCTGTGTATTCTTGCCACCTCTTCTTATTATAGTCTGCTCTTACCCCAGAAATGTTATATTAGTTGACTCAAATTATTTCTCGTGAAATTATATAACATGGCAGAGTTTTACTTGGATGCTATTCAGTTGATGTGTGTGTTTAAAAGCACCAGACACACAGTGAACACTTTCGTAAGGCTATGTGACTGCACAATTGGATCCACTTTTATACAAACAGGTAGGATTACTTATTTCCCTCACCCACAAATACAATGTTTTTACTTGAAGTATTTACCTTTTCTCTTTCCTCTGCATCATAATTGTCAGGAAAATGAGGCTTATTCTGATTTTCTTCGTTGATTTCTCTCTCTTCCAAGTAAAACTGCCACTTTGCTTCAAAGTAAAACCAGTGCTCCTGATATTCTAAATTCAAAATAAAGTAATTGTTGTACATTTCATGTCAAACATTTCAACCAGTGAACTACCAACTACAGTATGTGCCAATAACAAAGCCCAGTTTACAGATATCTCATGAAGAAAATTCATTAAAACATGGCAATAATAATCTTGTGCTCAATGACCTAAATGTGATTGGTCTGCAGCATGTATTATTTATATATGTATTAATTTAATTTAATTTTTATCCAAACCAATTAGTAGCAAGGCTCCTACTCTGGGCAGCAAAGATAAGATTAAGGATGAGAAGATTTTCATTCTCTGCTATAATATCAAATAATACAGCTAACAATGTTAAGGAAAACCAGAATACAGAATGATGATATATAACATATAATTTAACAGACAAATGCTGCAAAATTAGATTTATATTCCATGTTAAGATACTAGTTGTAGGACCGTTACCTGAAATACAAACATCATAATTAGGCATAAACACTATTTTACCAAGAGAGAGAGAGAGAGAGAGAGAGAGAGAGAGAGCGTAAAAATCCTTCAGTCTCAAGAGACTATGGTAGCATGCTCTGAATGGAGATCTTGGAACAGCGTCTAGTGTGGCTGAGAAGGCCAATTCAAGAGTGACAATCTCTTCCACATTGAAGACAAATACAATCTGTCCCTGTCCAGCTCCCTGGTTTTGCTTGTTTCGGGACTGCCTCTTTGCCTCAGCCTGCTAAACAAGTGCCTCTTCAAATTGGGAGAGGCCATGATGCACTGCCTGCCTCCAGGCTGAACACTCAGATGTCAAGGTTTCCCATCTCTTGAGATCCATTCCTCAGGCCTTCAGATCCCACTTGCAGATGTCCCTGTATCGCAGCTGTGGTCTCCCTCTGAGGTGCTTTCCCTGCACTAATTGTCCATAAAGGAGATCTTTTGGAATCTGACCATCAGCCATTCTCACGACATGCCCGAGCCAACAAAAACATTACTGTTTCAGTAATATTACATGCTAAAAATTCCAGCTCATTCTAGAAATACTCTATTTCAAATGTTGTCCTTCCAGGTGATACAAAAAATGTGTCGGAGACAATGCAAATGGAAGGTGTTCAGCTTCCTCTTCTGGCATGCACAAAGGGTCCAGGACTCACTGCAGTACAGGAGGGTACTCAGGACACGGGCTCTACAAACCTGGATCTTGGTATATACCGTCAGCTTCTTATTAAGCCATACTCTCTTTGTGAGTCTTGAGAACATGGTAGCTGCTTTGCCAAAGCATCTATCCAGCTCAACATCTAGGCAGAGGCTGTCAGAGATTGTTGAACCAAGGTACACAAAGTCATGAACAACCTCCAATTCTTGTGCAGAGATGGTAATAGAGGGAGGTGAGTCCATGCCCTGGCCCATGACTTGTGTTTTCTTTAGGCTGATTGTTAGTCCAAAATCTTGGCAGGCCTTACTAAAACAATTCATAAGTTTTCGAAGCTCTTCAGCAGAATGGGCAAAAACAGCTGCATCACTGGCAAAGAGGAAGTCCCGGATGCATTTCAGCTGGACTTTGGTCTTTGCTCTCAATTTAGAGAGATTAAAGAGCTTTCCATCTGATCTAGTCCGGAGATAGACACCTTCTGTTGCAGTTCCAAAAGCATGCTTCTGCATGACAGTAAAAAAGATTCAAAACAGAGTCGGTGCGAGGACACAGCCCTGTTTCACTCCTCTTCAGACAGCAAAGGGATCTGATGTTGAGCCATCAAAAACTACAGTGCCCTTCATTTCCTCATGAAATGATCTGATGATATTAAGGAGTTGAGGTGGACATCCAATTTTGAGAAGTATTTTAAAAAGGGCATGCCTGCTAACCAAATTCTTTGTAAGATTTATGAAGGCCACAAAGAGTGGCTGTCGTTGTTCCCTACATTTCTCGTGCAACTGTCTAAGGGAAAATACCATGTCAATGGTTGATCTATTAGCTCAAAATCCAAACTGTAAAACAAAATCTACCCTTCAAGCAATTTTAGAAATACTGGGATCCCACAACGAAGTGGCAAAATTATTCAATGAGCAAAATTATTCAACAGGAGACAGGGAATAATGAACAAGGAAATGAGAGGGTGGTGGATGATGTATGCCAATCAAAGGAGGGGCTGGAGGAAATCAGAGGAGAAAATTTAGGAGATCTAATTCTAACCCTGGAGCAGATGAGAGTCTTAGGTGTGCTAAAGGAAGATAAGGGGAGAGAACCAGCAGATTTAATTAAACATAGCCTGAAAGATCTATTGGAGATACATCAAGTGCAAAAAATATCAGATGGTACAAAGGACGGCAGAATTTTTAGAGAGATGGGTATAAGAACTGGGAAAAGATAAACAAGAGAATGAGTTACTGTACTTAGAAAGATGCAAAGTAAAAGAATATTAAGGTGGCCTTCAATGTTGAAAGCATGTATACACCTAACTTCTGGAATTGTAAGGGGACATATCTTATATATTAGAAAAGGGAATCAAACTGAAATAAGGGACCACTAATCAAGGTAAAGACATAACACGGTGGTTCTTAAGATAAATTGAAGCTAGACATAAGAAAGAGGTAAAACAAATAATATTCAATTAACATACAGTATTAGATATGATATTGATCTAGACATGACAGAAAATATGGAGATAGAAATGGCTAAACAATTATATAAAGAAAATCTATATAAAACACTTTAGATAGCATTTATTATGTGTTAGGAACCTATTTAGTTATTATCGGTATAAAATACAAAGTTGGTTGGTTAAATTGCCACAAAATTATATAGATTTGAAACCAGTAGCTGAAGTTAATATAAGACGGAGCAAGCTACACAAACTGTGCGTGCACCCATCAGCTGGGTGGGGGAACCTGGGAATTATAGTTGAAAAACATTTTTGAACTGTGTAAGTAGTGTGACATAGTGGAATTGTGTACAACTTAAACTTTGATGCTTTACATGTGATCTTTTCCTACAATAAGTAATTGTTGCCAAGAAAAAAAAGTCCATTATCACATTTGAAATGTGCTGTGTTTTGCTTTTGCCACCTAAATATAACGTAGTTTCTTGCCGCTCTACTTGTAGTGACATGAATGTTTCCATTACACTTTGTGGAATCTATATCTAGTTCTCTTTGCACAGATGAACTTATCTGTTTAGAATAAAAGAGCTAAATTGTGAATTAGCTTCAGCAAAGAAATTAATTGCAGACTGTACATATACTGAGCAAAGTGTTTTGAGAAACAAGAAAAACACAATGTTCTCTGAAAGCAATTTTCCCCATTGCACTTTCTTGGTCACAGCAGATCATGAAACCTGTTGACATGCCAAGCACATTTCAGCCATCTGCCTGGTCCTTTGCTCAACCAGGAACCTCTTGTTTTCACAGCCATTGTCTCACAGCTACATTCCCTCAGCTGCCCTCTACTTGATATTAGCCGCTTATTGCCTTCTCCTCTGATCAAGGGCCTCTGGTTTTTCTTCCATCTCCCTCTCTTGGTGTGGTCCTTGTGCAGCTCCTTCTAGTGTAATCATCCTTGACCCTCTGTCATCCTTGAGCAGAAGAATAAAGTGGCCCAGGAAGCCCTAAGAAGCACATTTTCTGATATTTATAGCAAATGTTTATCAATGACAATATTCCTACCTCTTATTATCTAATGGGAATCAGCATAGTAAAACAGTCATGTAGTGAAATTGGTATCCTTGTGTTCAAAATAACAGGATTAGCAAACAAATGACAGAGTTGTTGTGTTAAAAAAAATTGAAAAGGATAGAATTTTTGCATAATAGGGTTAAATCTATATGCATGGTTGGGGTGTGTGTGTGCTGTTTTCCTTTTTTCCTAAAATAGATATGTTCTTCTCAATGACAGAGTTAAAAATGCATGCTTTAGGAGGCTTATATATTTTAGAGGGCGGGTTAGTACTGAGCAAATGGCAGCATATATCTATCAAGGCAGACTTACACACATTAATCCCACACCTGGTCTAGTCTTTAAAAATAAAGTATGGCTAAGAGTTGAAGAACATCCATGAACGAACATAACACCGTCCTGAAGCACGTTGCTTATTTACCCATTGAGTGGCCCACATGAAAAAGATGAAGTTTTCACCTTGTGGTTGAATTTGAGGTGGTGTATTGCACGTTTTTACCTGCCATGTGCCTGATCGTCTTTTTGCAGTATTCTTCAGCCATTGGGACAACTTTCATCAATTCTCTTCCCCACTGCACTAGTGGCTTTCCTTGTATTGCGTATGAAACAAACAGAGCTGTACACAGTGATCCCAAAAAACCTAAAAGTGCAGAAAGACAATTGTGATGATGGGGGAGGAAGGTGTGTGTGTGTGTGTGTGTGTGTGTGTGTGTGTGTGTGTGTGTGTGAGAGAGAGAGAGAGAGAGAGAGAGAGAGAGAGAGAGAGAGATCACTAAACAGTGATCATTAAAAAAAGCTAGAAGGAATCTTCCCCGGTGCAGAATAAAACACATGTACTGAGCTTAAGGAATTCCAATGTGTACATTACTTTAGACTTTGATCTACTTCTTGAATATTTTTGTACCAACAGAATACATAAAGTCAAGAAATGTTCCACCTACATATTTTCTGTGACTCAAACTGCTGATAAAAGTTAAAAAAAAAAAAAAACAAGGCAACTGCTCTATGTTAGACTTATTAATGACCCATTTATTATCTGGCAGAACTGAAGTGTCTAAACTTTTTTTTTAAAAAAAACAAGGCAACTGCTCTATGTTAGACTTATTTATGACCCATTTATTATCTGGCAGAATTGAAGTGTGTTTAGTATTGTTTATATAGGTCCTCCATTTAATAAACAAATTACAGTAGCAATTACTACGTCTCTAAGATGCAAAGTAGTAAAATCTATAATATAGGCTTTGTAATGTATATTTTTGCCCTGCTAAAATCGATATTATAGCAAAATGCACAGCAGTGAAACACTATCAATTACTCTCTCCATTAAACATGCCAAACTGTATACAGAGTTCATTCCATTCAACATTGTTCCAGATGGCAGAGCTCAGCTGTAACAACTTCTTGGACATTACATAGCCTGCTTCTATTATCTCTGATCATTGATCAGAGACAAGTGTGCAGGCTGAATGAGCATCCTCCTAGAGCCAAATGTGGTCCACAAGCTTTAAGTTCCCCAACCCTCCACCAATAAAAGTCTTCTGCTTCTGTTGGAGGAAAGTACCGTAAGTTTTGGAGCCAATCCAGGGAAACTGCCATGCAAAACTGTTTTGTGAATGTTTACTCATAAAGCCCCATCGTGTTCAGTGAAACTGACTCCTTAGACTGAGAGTGTGTTTAGATTTTAAGCAGAAATCAGACTAAGGCATCTGAGATTCACATGTTTTGCATTTTTTCCTGCCACATGAAAAGCTAGAAAATAATTGTTGAAGCCGTTGTGAGCTAGATTGGGGTACACTGACATATTTAATGTTCCTGAGATGCTCTGGTGAATACATATGACTGACAACTTGTGCCTCAACTTGGGAAGCAGACATTTGGTATGACATGTTGGCTGACATTAACATTCCTTAATGATGACTTACTATATGTGGTGTGTGTATCTGTACTTCTGATCTTAGCAGTGACTGTAATATGAGAATGTGGTCTCCAGATTCAAAACAAACTGTTTTTATGATCCTCAGAACCATTTACAATTAAGAGCAAAATAAATTAATAATGATGCATGCCTTTCAGTTATACAGCAGATGAACTGTTGCTTTAAAAGGAGTACTGTATATGCGATTAGGATTTAAATAGTAAGAGCTAAAGTAGATGATACACTTAGTGTGTATTTGGAAGAAGTGCTCTCTCTTCCTAATTTATGGGTCTCATTGTCATAGTACATTATCGTCTTCAACTGCCCACGTTGCATTTAGCATTCCTTGTTCTGTGATTTGCTGTTAGAAAGTAAACACTGCCAAAATCTGCAACTCTGATTCTCTAAGGAAATCTCATTGTAAAAGTACATAATACACACCCAGAAGCTTTTAAAGATATAACCTACAAGCCGGGCCTTTCTAAGACACTGAGAGGCCTGAGAATGTTAATTTGAGGCCCATACTTGCTGCTTTCTTCTCAGAGCACCTTGTAACCGTGTCATTTTTTCTATATCTGCTGAGGAACAAAATTACATATATGAGCCATATTGGCTGGGCCATCCTAGGGTTTAACGTCCCAAAAAAAGAGTGACTTTTCCAATCTCTGTGGTGCAACAGGTGAAGGAAGAGAAGGAGATCAAGGGTCTTCTTTCATAGGAAGACAGCGGGAACTTAGTCCCACCTAAGTATGCACAGGATAGCAACCTTACCTCTGCCAGTTTTTTCCATCCTCTCCTGCTGTTTGGATTGATTGCAACATGCTTCCACATAGAGGGAGGGAGCCCTCTGGAGGCCCAGCTGACCCCCCCCCCCGGCCTTATGCCATCTTGCACAGTAGTGACAGGATGAACAGGTGAAGAACGGGGCAGGAGGAGACAAGTTAGTGGGATTCTGAAAGAAAAGAGTTGGCAGCAGTGGAGCAGTGCTAATGTTGGAATGGCTCACCATGTTTGAGGCTTTTGTCATATGCAAGGCCCAAGGTAGCTGCCTTTCCCTTTAAAAGGTCTAGTTTGAGGCTTACTCTTTTTTTGGCTGTTGTGATTAACAGAGGGTCCTGCATGGTGACACTTAATCTGGTTTGCCCACTGATCTGGGCTTTAGAAATTAATTCCCCTGCATTTTACCTGTCGGATGATTGTGAGTCATTCGTCCAACTTCAATGCTCACTTCGATAAGAGCTTCCAGTCTTTCTGGCTTCCAGTATTTCATCCCTAAGCACATGGCTTTTGTGGCTGCCCCAAACCCTGAACCTAGAGCAAGAAATATTAAAACAGCTACTTGAAAAAAAGATCAAATGAGCTGTGCATGATCATGAATCTATGAAGTAGGTTATAATGTTTACAAGTCATAAAAGTAGGGGATAGCTGAGGCCCCCAGGGGGAGGGGAAGCAATAAGGAGGTGTCCCCAATCCAGCCATGATGGCCTTCCTTCCAGCTACTGATTGCCATTCTTCTGGCCCTCCCCATTGTGCCTGTTTCCAGCTCCAGAATTACTTACCTATCATGCAGATGTGAGAAATTTGTAGAACTAAAACAAAGGACAATGGTGGGGAGTCTGCAGTACTCTAAATCTGGTTCTAAAATCTTCCAAGGTTTGGTAGATTTAATATATCAGGTTGGAAAATCATCAAGGGCCTGGGAGCACCTCATGTTGGTCAAGTATATGGAATATGTGCTAGGGATGTGGTATATGACAATAGTTTGTTCCTGTCTTTTCCCTCAGCTTTTCTTTTAAATTCAATTTTATCTCAATATTATTATTTGTCATGTTGTAAGTTGCTATAGATCTATGGAAATAGCAGGATGGAGATTGAAATAAATTAGATGAATAGAAGCAAATTAAAATAATAATTCGTAAGTAACAAAACCAAATAATAATAACGGAAAAGCAACAGTGACAAGCAAGTTGTGCAAAACCCTGCAAGAATAAAATCATCTTCATTCGATGCCTAATGGACAAGGAGCGTCAGGACCAAGCAGATCTTTCTAGAAATAATGTTCTAAAGATGTGAAGCCAGTACAAAGGAGGTGTTGTCATCTGTTGTTACGCTGGAGCTCCATAGGCTGTTTGTTGGGCACCTTCCATCCAATCCAGTCCGTCATTCAGATTGCTTGTTACATCATATAGTGGGCTATGGATTGGGTTATTAGATCCACATATCAGATTGACTGTTACTTTTTCTAGTACAAGGTGATTTTTATAGTCATCTCATATTTGGCAATGTGATCCCAGTCTAGTAAATAGCTAATGTGTGGGAGGTCACCAACAAAATTACAGTAATTGAGGGCATTGTACGTAATGTGAAATACGGACAGCAAGCAGCTATGCTTCATTTTTATTTTTAACACTTAGTCTGTTTTTAATGGGACATAAATCCACCAAACGGCAGTAAGATATAATATTCCCACTCATATGTTATTTTACCAACAATCACTGAACACATTCTGGTTGTGGTTACAGGGCTTTGGAAGTGGAGTGTGCAGTATATTTTTAGCCCCATAGCTATGTAACTCATGGGCATTATTGGAAAATCAAGTCGGGGGGAGGGAAATATTAAATCTTAGCTCAGGAGGCAAGTGTTCCTAAAATGCTCTCCAACTGTAAAAGGGAAGTCAAATAAAAGGTGTCACTAAATCTAGCTACATCTTTAATGTAATGTGTGACTTAATTTTTACTCACAAAAAGGAAACTTATGGTAAGGTATGATAAGCCAACAAACACAGCTGTTCTTGGTTGCAAAATCTTATTTGTTTCAACAGTTTTTGATTTATGTAAAAAAAAATATAGCTGTGAAGTTAACTTGGGGCTTATCTATGCTACAAATGTATGTTGGTTTTTAAACCAGTTTAAGTGACTGCTTGAATGCTATGCATTTGAAAAAGGTTCTGAGTAGTCTCTTTACAGATGCCCAACACTTCCTAGTTCCCTCACAGTACTACAAAACCTAGGGTTCTCAAGGATGAAGGAACAGCTATTAGGAAAGTTTAAGGCTAACTTGGTCATATGACCACTTGTTTGTCCACCAATGAGAATAGAAAATCTTCTGGTGTTCTGTCCTATTCCTGATACATCACTTCTGTGATTTCAACATTTGTCTTACTCGAGCTGTCCGGTAGGGCAAGAAACAGGTCTGTGGGGATGTAGCTGTAGAGCCGTCTGGTCAAAGAGTCACTCCAAGCATTGCTGAGCAGGTTGAGATGCTGCACCAGCAACAACATGGAGGCAAATGAGCAGTTTTATAGCTAGTTCCGCTAATCCTACCTTCATAGACCCTGTGATTCAGGATTATTCTTCCCATGCCTTTACCCTTATTAGCCTAGGGTGTTCAAAGGTAAAAGAACATTCAGAGGCTTGGGATGATCAGAGGCTGAGTGTGGGTTCTTACTAGAGATGGGGATGAATTAAAAAAATGGTGATCCATTTTGATTCATGATTCGTCAAGGTTAGCAACTCAACGAATACGAATATACGAATATTTTTCACCGAATCAATGAATCAATCCGTCAATTTATCTTTGCTTTAAATGACTATAAAACTGACCCCTAAGCACCTAGAGAGACCATATCTGCATAGAAGCTTCCTCAGACGCTTTTCTATAACTCCTGAAAATTTGGTGAACATTGGATAATGGACCCCTGAGTTATGTAGCCACAAAGGGAACACCCCAGGAAAATTCCCCCCAGGTATTTAGAGAATCCAGAATCACAATGCAGCTTCCTATGTCTTTTCACAACATGCCTGCCAACTTTGATGAAGATTAGATATCGGACATCCAAGTTATTCACCCACAAATTGGATCCTCCCAGGAGAGTTTACCTCATGGCACAGAAGCCCATGGTATTGAGGGAATTATTTTTGGCCCCAGCAGAATGAGAGGTCTTTGGCACTGAGAGGCATGTATGAGGCATTGAGTTTGTCTTCAGCAACATTACCCAAAAAAAAAGCCATTCTGCCTACTGGCTGCCGATCAGCTGATTGGAGGCCGATAGGCAGCCGCCACCCCCACAGCCAGCCACCCCCACAGCCTACCCCCTTGCTTTCCCTACCTTAGCCCCCACCCCACCCCAACCGATCCACCCTTACCTTAATGACTGCTGCCAAGGTTTCTATCAAGCCTACGCAGCCACAGCATGTAAAAACGGAAACTGGCTGCCTTTTGCAAAGATGGCAGCTGCAGCTTCCCTACCCTAAATGAAGCCACAGCCACTATCTTTGCAAGGGGCAGCCAGTTTCCTTTTTTACACGCCCTAGCTGCGGAGGCCTGATGGAGACCTTGGCAGCAGTGATTAAGGCAAGGGGGTGTCAGTGGGGATTGGGTGGTGGCTAAGGTAGGAAAAGGAAGGGGGTGGGTAGGCTGTGGGGGTGACTGACTGTGGGGTGTGTGGCTGCCCATTGGCCTCCGATCAGCTGATCGCCAGCTGATAGGCAGAATTTTTTAAAATATGAAAGACGAATTAAAATGGGTAAATATTCATCCCTTTGTATTTGTGGGGGGGTCTCTGGAACTCATGAATATGAAGGGACGAATGTTTAACGAATTGACTATTTTCGTTGAAAAAGCCGGTCTGTTTTTATATTCGTCCCTATCTCTAGTTCCTACCTGTGTCAGAATTTTGGCATAATAAACAGAACTCTATTTGTGTTTGTGTAAGGTTTGTTTAACTTCCCGCTGACAATTATGGTTAATTGATATGGTGCTATAGCATGTCTCATTAGAGCAAGTGGTCATGGCTGAGATGTAGCCAAGCACCTCATCAACTAACCACAATTAGCTGCAGACAGGTACACAAACCTTATGAAAACACAAATAAGATCGCAACCAATGACTTAAAGGTAATTAACCAGTAAATAATAAATTTCCCCTATTTTTCTTTTCTTTATTGCCTTTTGTTTTCTTCCTTTCTTCCTTTTGGTAACTAGGGCATAATGAATTTACATTTTGAAAGTAACATAATGATGAGCAAGAACACAGTTATTGGTACAGCATCTGCTTTCTAAATACTTTTCATGGTTATTTTAAAATTCTTTTTAACCCTCTTTAGAGGCATTTTGACAGAATTTTTTCACATGTTGTACTATTTTATTGGTCATGAGTTGTTCTTCCAAAAAAGTGAGAAAATCATAATCAACAAAAGTAATGGGTGACTCAACAAGCAGTTTATTTCAATGAGTAATGACATTTTTACATTGTCATAACAAGTAATGGAAATTAATTATTTTAGAAAATCAGCTTTCTAAGCTGTAACCTGAGAAGGAAGTTTTCTGGTGGTGCAAGCAGGAAGGCCTTTTTGGTAGTGGTCCAACATTTATAGAATTGGGGCAGAATTTATAATCCCAGATGCTTACACTTGTCTAAAAATATATTTGTTTACTATTATCTTTCATGATTTTAAGCCATTTAATTGTCACTGATTGAAACGCTGTTGCTTAGTGTTGCAAATCCCAGCTGGAGTTAGGCTCATTGGATCAATGAAATTTATAGAGGAGTTGACTCATCAAATACCCACTGATTCAATGGCCCTCCTCTAAACAACAGGATTTTAGCCAATGTGCGTGTTTCAATTACATTTCAGTATGATTTAAATTATTTAATACTTATAGGAAGATAAGCCACACTACACAAAAAAAGATTTGAAAATGTGGAGATATAGAGAGAGATAAGGAATCAAGTAAGCTGATAGACAGGGTTGCATCTTCTAGTCTGGGCTTCAATTTGGTCTTGTGCTCTATGTTTCTAGGAAGATTTTGGAAGAAGCAAAGCTGTGAAAAGGTTAATCAGTCAAGAGGCTGTAGATAACCTGATTCTGCAGAGACCGCCCCCCAGGGTGCAGATTACTGGACTGTGTAAGTGTAGTATCAATGTCTGTTGATTCCCCGCAGCTCAGCTACTAAGCTAACAGTACTAATAGTATTCTTTTTTTGAGGGAGCTTCACCCAGTTTCCTATCAGGACAGATAGGAATGAGGGTTGTGTGGTATGACATTAGGGGAGGGTTGTGTGGTATGACATTAGGGGGGGGAAATATTAATTCATATTATGAATTAATATGAATATTAATTCATATTATCCTTGAATTAATATTTCCATACATATGAGAGAAGAATGGATAGGAGATGCTTTACATTGTTAATAGAACATTCACACAAGATGACAGTATATACACATGCAGTTTATTTGGTTGGCATCACCTTGGTCTTATCAAGTAAAGAGCCTATAAAAGTGATATTTTGGACTATAATCTAGTATTTC